TGTGTTCTAGCTAATCCTGTGGTAGCTCTCAGAAGCTATTTATTTATTTATTTTACAAATTCATCTACCACAATTTATAAATCTTCATCTTCCTTCCTTTTCTATATATCTTTCTAAAAACAATATCATTCTTCTCTACTCATTCATTATTCTTCTGGTTGGTTGTTTGTCTCTTTTCAACATTCCTAGTATCCCTTTTACTGCATGTGATCTGTCAACATTATCAAACTTCTTTCAGTTGTTTGAGATAATCATGTTGTAAGGTGCTCTACCACCGATGACAACACACTGCTGTTTGGTACTATTTTTTTTGGCTACAAAATACAAAACATAAACAACAAACGGCAAACATGTAACTTTTTAACCTTGTTATCTCTGATATTTCTTTACTTCAAATTTTTTCTTATTAATGGGTTACCTCTTAGTTGTTGTATAATAATAATATTAAAATACCAACCACCCATAGGTAGGTTTGTTCATGACCAAACACAAAACAGATGATGTACCATATTTAGTGTAGTATAACCTCGCATAAAAAAACAACATGTGACCACTGTTAGTCCTTTATTATCTTCTTGTTTTCTAAATAAACATGACACTGCAGAAAAAAAAAAACAAAAAAAGCACAAAACAATTAAATTAAAGAGACCAAGAGCAAACACACCAATCAAGTAGGTAAGGGAAACAGAAATAAAAGAATCCAGAGGTCGTCTAGCAAAATTGCAAATCTCCAACAATGCTCACATGAACGTAAAGGGTTACGTGAGGTTTGTTTCCTCCCACCCTAAATCATGACAGCGGTGTCAGTTACACACCTGATCTTTAGCACTTTTAACAGTAAGGTATTCATCCCTCAGCGGCGATATCTCTCTCTTTTTTTTTTCTTTCTTTTTTTTTATTTAAAACTTATGTTTATTTTTTTTTTCAGTTTTTTCAATTGAGTTTTGTTGGTTTTTTTCTTATTTAATTTTTATGTTGGGTTTGTGTTGATCTTTTTTTTTTAAATGATGTTTTGGGTGATTCTTATCCTTTTATTTTTTCTTTTTTTGATACTATCGATTTTTTTCTTTTGTTTCCTTATTGTGTTTTTTTTTGTTGGTTTTTTTTTCTTTTTTTTTCTTGTTTTTTTGTTTTTTTTTTTCTTTTTTTGCTTTTTTTTTTTTTTTTTTTTTTGTTTTTTTTTTTTTTTTTTTTTTTTTTTTTTTTTTTTTCTTTTTTTTTTTGTTTTTTTTTTGTTCTTTTTTTTTTATGTTTTTTTTTATTTTTTTTTTTTTTTTTTTTTTTTTTTTTTTTTTTTTTTTTTTTTTTTGGTTTTTCTTTTTTTTCCATTTTTTTTATTTTTTTTGTGTGTTTTATTTTTTTTTTTTTTTTTTTTTCTGTTTTTTGTTATTTAATATATGTTTATACGTCATTATTACATTTTAATGTATCCTCTTGTCTATATATAATTTTATTTTCATCTTGCAAACAATCACAAGAAGGGCAAAACCATAAAAAGCAAACCAATGAATTAACTACATGGTTAAAAGAGAACAAAGAAAAAAAAAGTTAAACGGCCAGAAAGTGCCTGAGACAAAAACCAACCCAAGCAAAAAAAAACCAGCAAAAGCCCAGGCTAGCAATAACAAAAACGGCAAACCAAAACCAAAAAAAACAAAAAAAGCAACAAAAACAACACCAAAAAAAACGCCATAATAAAAACAAGCAGGCAAAGCAAAACGAAAAACAAAAACACAATAAAAAAAACATACATGAAAATGTGTACACTTAAATAACAGGAAGGCACAAGAAACAACAAACAAAAGATGCAAAAGTAACAAACAAAAAGACAAAAACAAACAAAAAAAAAAGACCAAAAAAAAAGCCAAACACAACAGCAAAAGCAAAAAAAACAAAAAAAAGGCAAACCAAAAAATAAAACACAAAGAAATCCAGACACAAAAAACAAAAAAAAAACTAAAAGCAATCAAGCAAAAAAAGTAAAAACGTTCAAAAAACTCAAAACAAAAAAAAAATGGCCAAAACAAAACAAAGCAAAACAAAGCGAAACAAACAGGCACACAAACAAACACAAGCTGAACCAATAAAAAACCAGAAAAACAAAAAAAAAAAAAATAGCAAACAACACAAAAAAAGAACAAAATTGCAAAACAAAAAAACAAAAGTAAAACAACAAGACAAAAAGAACAAAAAAAAATAGGCAAAGGAAAAGAAGAAACACAAAAAGCAAAAAAACATAAAAACAACCAAAGAAAACTCCTACAAAAAAGAACAAACGAACAAGAACAAAAAAAAACAAATCAAAAAAGAAACCACATTGCGAACAAAGCAAACAATGCAAAAAAAAAACAAGGAGAAAAGGGTTGGGTCATGTGCAACAAAAACAAAAAAGAAAAAAAAAAATAAAAATATTAGACAAAAGAGAAAAAGAAAAAAATCACAAAAAAAAAAGAAAAAAAAAAAAGCCCCACGCCGAAAAGTTAACGACAAAAAAAAAAGAAAACAAAGAAAATTTGTGTGTGCTAAAAAAAAAAAAAAAATAAAGAAAAAAGAAGAAAAAAGACAAAAAGAAAAAGAAAAAGAAATAAAGACACAACAGACAAAGGGAACAAAAAAAAAAAAAAAAAAAAAAAAGAAAAGAAAAAAAAAAAAAAAAGAAAAAAAAAGAACAAAAAGTAAAAAACAAATAATATAAAAAAAATCAGAGAAATAAAAACAAAAACAATGAAAAATTACGGTCAAAAAAAAAAAAATGAAAAACAGAAACGACACTCACACCAGACAGACTTATACAGTATGACCAAATGCTACAAAAAATGAAAACAGCTAAAACCGTCCAAATAGACTAACCACTGGAGAAGAAACAAAGAAAAGCTAAACAAAAGGGTAGCAACAGGAAAGGAATGATCAAAAACAATAAGGAGCGACAACACAAACAACAAAACAGAGACAACCAAAAAAACAAGAAAAAAAAAACACAAAAAAAAAAACTGCCACCAACACACCCAATCTAACAAAAAGCAAAACAACAAAAAAAAAAAAATAAAAGAAAAGACAGGCAAAAAAACGCAAAAAACAACTCATATTGACAGTATAAAAAGAAAAACAATTGCAAATAAAAAAAACTAAACATAACACAAAAAACCAATGAATAGACAAGAAATAGTAAAAACACAAGACAAAAAAGAACAAGACAAAAAGCAAAAAAAGAACAAACAAAAAGAAAACAAACAAGGAAAAAAATAAACCCAAAACGAAAAAAGAGCTAAAAAAAAAAGAAGAAAAAAAAGAAAAAGAAAAAACAAGAAAACAAAACAACCAACAAAAAAACAAAAAGAAAACAACCAACAAAAAGGCGCAAAACAACAAAACAAAAAAAAAACAAAAATACACAAGTAAAGCAGTAGCACAAAAAAAACAACACAAAAAACAAAAAAACAAAAAGGTGACAAAAATTAGGGGCCAATTGCACACAAACAAAAAAAAACAACAAAAAAAAATTGCACACAAACAGCCATAAATTGAGACATAACAGAAAGATAGCCAAACAAAAAGCAAAAAACAACAAAAGAAAACAAAAATTCCACCAAAACAAAAAAAAAAAAAAAAAAAACAACAAAGAAAGCCAAACAGACGAGACAAAAAGACAAACCGCATAACAAAACCCCAAAAAAAAAAATACCAAAAAACAAAACAACCACACCACAACAAGGCTAGCCAAAATCCACAAAGACAAAAAAATATGAATGATTATGCATTCTTGCTTAGGAGCTGCTTCAGATTAATAAGTAAAATAAAAGAAATCATATCTAATAAAAAAACAAAAAAAAAATGAAATATGCACAAAACACAAATGTAAAAAAAAAAACATTAAAGCTAGACTAAAAAAAAAATACAAAACATCAGAAAAAAAAATTCACCAAAGACCGTATCGACCAACAACAGCATCACAAGACATATGCTAATATACAAAAACACCCAACAACAGTCTCAATTAGAATCAGAAACAAAAAACTATAAAAAAAAGCAAACATCAAAAAAGAGAAAACAAAACAAAGAAAACACATCAACGCACAAGCACGGATAAAACGCGCAACCACGAAAAAACAAAATGACAACAACGCAAAAAAAAAAACAATACATACAAAACAAAAAAACATAAAACCATTGACAAACACCTTAATCACGAGGCCATGCAATCAAACACAAAGCAAAACACAAACAACATCATTATATAAATATATGAAATAGCAAACAAGATAATTAAAATCACACACACAGACAAGAAAAACAACAAAACAAAGAAAAGAGAAAGAAACACACACCCCAAAAACAACCCAACCACCAAAAACCATACATGGCAAAGCGCACAAATAAAAACCCAACACAACTAACACGAAAATGCAACCCCAAATAGAATTGCAAAGAAAAATCAAATAAAATCAACCAACAAAAAAAAAAAATACAAAAAACCAAACACCAAAAACTTTCAAAACCAAAACAACAGTCAAAAAAAGGTATCGCAAAAACAAAAACAAACAAAAAATGAAAGAGCACAGAAAACAACAGAATCATCAGCAAAAAAAAATTACCACCAACAAAGCCCAAGCAAATTCCCAACAAAATCAAAAACAACAGAAAAAAAAACAAAAAACCAAAGAACCAAAAAAAACAACAATAAATTTCACACAACACCCAAAAAATACAAAACGCTTACAACAACAATAACTAAAGCAAAAAAACCTAATAAAAAAAAACACAAAAAAAAAAAAACCCAAAAAACACAAAAAAACAAAACGAAAAAAAATTTTTGTTTCAAAATAACAAAAAAAAAAAACCCACTCACAACAAAAAAAAACCAACAGAA